ATAATAGGCCCCTCTTAGACATGTCCATGTTTACTAAAACTCCCTCTATTAAAAACAAAAACAACAACAACCCGAACCTCACTGACAGAATCAACCCATCACCACAACAACCTCAAAAACCTTAAACACACAAGTATTGCCACCACATAATTTCACCTCCTCAATACACCGAAAGTCAATTTGCACACAACAATCACCCCCTTTATGCACTTTAGCATACTTAGATTCAACATAAGACATAACCCCCTTACGACAACATATAATCACTAAACTATAAATTTCCTATCTAAATCTGCACTCCTCTTCTGTCTGCTATGCTTCCTCTCCTGAAAGCCTCAGTCACACACACAGGAAACTCCTTCGTCACCACTCACTCCAGCTAATTTGCATACTGAGTCATATCTCAAGAAGTTGCCGTAACAAAAGAAACATATGTTTAAACATTACCAACTTATTAAATTATTTTATTTCTTTCTACAGTGATCACTAGTGTTGATCACTCAGTACCAGGGCACTCCTAAGTCACTTTTTTAAAACTACTTTAATCACTTTTTCTTTTTCCATAACTCACTCCCTTTGTCATATAGCTTCTTTGAGTTATTCCTCAACTTCAAACTCAAATGTATTTTATTAAACATTCACACCATTCTATCACTCATACAAATAGCAAGCTGTTCTTCATTGCGTATGTTTGTGTTCTCAGCCAGGTTTAATCAATGTCTATGCATTAATCTCCACGAGCTTGTCCTTGTAAGGTTAATGCATTTTCTGCTTGTGTATGTGAATTTGCATATGTTGCTTTTGCAGTGTTTCAGACTCCTGCACAATTCGCCGCTTAAGCAGTCAGTTTTCTTTCCCAAATTTGCTAACCCAAATTTTTAGTTCCCACCTTATTAACAGCATTCCTGGTCCTCAGACACAAGTTAGGGCCCACTTGTCAGGTTTATGGAGACATGGCGCTATGAACAATTCAACCAGAAACTATCCTTAACATATCCAGTCATGTTGACCTATAACTTTCTTCCGACCGCTGCACGTGGAAAATTGATCCAGGTCTGTTTCGCCCCTGAAGAAACACAACTAAGACATTTTCATTGTTATCATGAGTACTTAAACTACCCGTTTCCCCCTCTCTGGTCAGAAATACCAACTTATGTTATGTGTATAAGTGTAAGCAGGTCTTCATTGCTTTTCCTATGTATGTTAATGTTCAGTGAGTGTAAGCTGCTTTCTTCATTGCCTCTGTATGTTATAATCAGGTTTAATTCATGCATCTTTTCACTGATTTCTTAATTCAAAACTATCTCACTTCTGATTCTTTCCAGAAATAATTTCACATGTAACACTTTGTGTATGTGTGTTTTCTATTCATTGATGTAATTGTCAGTTGTTTTCACTCTTTATTTTACCTTCTTTTTGTTTACCTCTTTAGTTTTCTGGTGGACATCTCTAAACACCATCATGAGTTCAGGCTTCAATTTCAGTCCAATTATACCCTGTATTCTCACAGTCGAACTCGTCCAGCTTCACCTCTCACTGGTCCCCGTCCTCTTCTCTCAGTGTCCTTTTGTTGTCTTGAATTATCCAGCAAACACAGTCCGTTTCCTCTCTGTTTCTCTTCAGTATTTTCCTTTTGGATTAAATTCCAGCCTGGCAAAATATCACAGTCCACCATGCATGTTTCATCACGCGGTTTCTTCTTCTCTGTTGATCCTTTCAGTCGTCGCTTTCAAGATTACTCCAAGCATGGCAAATCTGACAATCAATGTCCAGTGCTTTCCACAGCTCATTATCCCACTGTCCAACTGCCCAGCCTGTAATTTACAGTGCATGTTTCCATGCTGCTGGTTCCTTCCATGCTGCTGGTCCCGTCAGTTTGGTTTCAGTGTTAACAGTTGCACTGTCTTTTGGCTGCTTGTAAATTCTTATCAAGTCCACGATGTTCTGTTGGTCTTCATCAGGAAATTAACTGTCCTTTGAGCTTCTTCTCAGGATGGTGACAAGTGGGAGGTCAAGCTATAAAATTTTAAGCCAAAATCTGGCCTGTTTTCTCCCAATTATGTTACTCTACTGGTTTTGGTTTTGGAATGAAGACACAGTTCCAAAAGCAAATACACTTGGTCGATGCTGAGAGTGGTCCTGTTGCTGAGGTTGGTGTCATCCTGTAATCCTCCAACGCTTCTGTGACTGGGATGCAAGTGAAGAGAGATGTAACGTCGTATGAGACAATGGTTTCATCTGCCTCCATAATGACATCTCTCACCTTCTCAACAAAATCCAGGGTGTTCTGGATGTGGTGTTCAGAGCTGCCCACCAGCGGGTTGAGGATCGAAGCCAGAAACTTTTCATTTACGTGAAAAGGGAAAGACCATCTCTGAATCGAGGAGGGGGCCTAAGGGTACATCTTTCGCCATCTTACAATGCTGTGATTGCAGCCATTCCCCAACTCTCTGTGGATGGTATGGCCATTGATCAGTGGTCTTTGATCAGTGGGTTTTGGTCAGTGGTTGTTCATCAATGGTCATGAGAATTTTCATAATTATGATTAAGGAACTGATCTCCCAGTCCATTGTTCTTTCAGTGGCCTCGTTTCAGTCATTATGCAAATTTACTGTTTATAAGATTTGGGGAAACCTGCAGTCAGCTGAGACTGAAGAAGTCACTTGGATGAGTGACGAAACGTTTCTCCCACGAAACGCTACGTCCAGATGAACAGAATCAACTTTTGGAGATATTATTATTATTATTATTATTATTATTATTATTGTTATTATTATTATTATTATTATTATTATCATCATCATTTCTGACTATGGATTGATTGTTCTTGTGATAGGATACAGCTTTGTGATTTTATTGAATGTTGCTTTATACCTTGGGGCGTAGGTGGGTAGGAGAAATTTGAAAAATTGTTTTGCTCCACCTGGGTTTATCCAGTAGAATGATCTATTTTATACTTGGGCAGCTGTGGTTCCAGAGGTAGAGTGAATTGGATGGTTGTTGGCTCAGTACTCTACTTGTCTACATGTCAAAGTGTCCTTTCGCAAGATACTGAATCCTGAAAAATGCCTCCAGTATAATTTTCTATTTGATATGAATAAGTGCTGGATAAGTGAACAATCTAGCCTGGTATGTCAGTAGGTTGATGTAGCAGCTTACTAAATCCTAGACCTTAATAAATATAGACAAGGACAAGCATAAATACTATTTCATCTTACTTGAGCTTTGTTGGCTCTGTTTTCTTCAAAAAGCAATCTTAAAGTTTGTTGTTGAAACTTTACATATTTTTGTTTTGGTAGAGACAGTAAGAGCAATGACCTATGTGATCAACCAAGGCATGTCCATGTACTGGGGTACATCACGATGGACCTCAATGGAGATCATGGTAAGTTTTAAACTTAGCTGTGAATCTATCCATAATCTGAATTATGTGAATACTGTAGATTTATTGTTGTTTTCATGTGGCTAGTGTTGGTCTGAATTAGGACTAAATAGAACAAGTTCTTAGTGTTCATTTCATAAATACATGAAATAAATCATGAAATCAGTGCAGGTGGCAAAAGTATAGACACTGTTTACTGACATAGAACACCAGATACTTGTTAAAAATACTCAGGTAAAAGTAAAAGTACTTATTGAACCTATTGACTCAAATAAAAGTGAACGTACAGGCTCAGAAAAGCATTCAAAGAATGAAAGTAAAAAGCAGGACCTGTATTAATATAATGAAATAAATTAGTGCATGGTGATACAAAAACTGCTTTTGACCTCCAAACCTAAGTAGAGCTCTGAGGTTTATTGGTCTACCCTCTACATTGGTGGGGAGGAGGTAGAAAGGGTAGAAAGCTTTAAGTTCCTCAGAGTCCACATCTCGGCTGACCTTACCTGGTCCACAAACATTTCCACCAGGTAGGGAAAGCACAACAAAGGCTGTTACCCCAGAGACTGCTAGTAAACTTCTACCCCTCCACCATCGAGAGCCTGACTTACTGCTGCACTCTCTGGTTGAACTGCTGCACGGCGGAGGCACAAGAGGAAACTGCAGCGGGTGGTGAGGGCAGCAGGGCGGGCAACTCACTAAACCCCCCTCAAAGACATTTATACTGGCAGACTTCAACAAAAAGCCAGCATCATCATCAAGGACCCCTCGCACCCTGGACACTCACTTTTCCCCCCCTTCCCTCTGGTAAACGCTACAGGTCCATCAAGACGAAGACAAACAGACTTAATAGAAGTTTTTACCCACAAGCTTTCAAACATGCCCTACCTCAACCCTAATTGGAGGATAACTGCACTGCCAACACCCATGGACATTAGACCCTATTTATAAACTGTATTTCTATGTATACTTTAAGGAGGTAGGAATGTTGGTTGCATTAAACTGTATTTATTATAACACTATTTAATATAGTTGCAACAATGTGCAATATCAACCCCCCCACACACACACACTCAATATGCAATATCACTGATGTGTGTGTATATATATGCAAGCGTGTATGTGGAAATATAAAGTACGCATGCATATATGTATGTATATATTTATATATGTATGTATGCATGGATGTATCTGTATATATACAGGTGTATGTATAACTTGTACATATCTTTCTTGTGTAAATGTAAATTTGTTTGTGTTATTGTGTAAATACTTATGCTATTGTGTACTTAACACACACACACAGATGCCAAACTGCTTTCCATTGTTTTTGTAACAATGACAATAAAGAGCTGTTCTATTCTATTCCGAACGTGCGGCAGTGATGGCGACAGAGCACGTCCGGAGGCCGGCCACACGGAAGGCAGATGTGGCGACAGAGCACGTCCAGAGGCCGGCCACACGGAAGGCTCCTTCAGGGGGGCGGCCTCGATGGCGATCACGTCCAGCTAGAGGCCAGGAAAGCGGCCGGTGAAGGCGAGGTGGTACAGGCCGAGCTGGATCAGATGGTGGTGTAGCAACCGTAGCGGCCCCTGGGACCCTCCAGCTGAGACAGACTGCTGAACGGGCCCCTGGACCCTCCAGCAAAGACAGATACAGGACCAGCAGGCACAGAGACCTCTAGCGGGGACGGATGAGAACTAGCAGGCGCAGAGACGCCTATCAAAGACAGATCAGAACCAGCAGGTGCGGGGACCTCTGGCTGACACAAAGGTAACTTGAGCTGCGCAGGGGCCTGGCTCAGCCCAGGCAGCGCTGACATGGTGCAGTTCTTAGGGGACTGCTTAACCTCCAGGAGGCCAGAATCAGCTGGGGACTGAGACCTAGCCTCTGGGGAGACCCTGGAGTGAATAACTGCACCTAAAGCAGCTAAGTTACGAGAAACACCCTGGTTGGGAATGAGATTATCTCCCTGAATAGAGATGATGGATTGTTAAGTGGCTGACAGAACCAAAGACTGAGCTACAGGTAGCGGGGACACTGGAGACTGAGCTACAGGTAGCGGGGACACTGGAGACTGAGCTACAGGTAGTGGGGACACTGGAGACTGAGCTACAGGTAGCGGGACACTGGAGACTGAGATAGTGGCAGCTGGGCAGGTGACTCGGGCAATGCTGACTTTTTAGTCTCTAGGGGTCCACAGGCAACTGAGGGAGGAAACTCAGCCTCTGGGGAGGCCCTGGAGAACATTTCAATTACTGCAACATTACCACTTAATGTCTTTGAATGAGTGTCAGTAGTCCAAGAAATGAAACATTCGGGTGCACACTGAACAGTCTCTTGAGGTGGCAGCTTAGAAAACAAAACAGTCTTAGTATCATCAGAGCTGGGGTTAATTGTCTCTGGGTTGAAAGCCACAGCTTTAGCACACTCTGGGATTGCTGATACGGGGTTAACAGACTCAGAGAGAGTTAATCCAGGCTCAGAAGAAGCAGAAGAAACACAGCCCTTTGTTTTCTCAGAAGTCTTAAAAATACCAACCTGGGAGAGGTCACATACTATGAAGGTAGATAAGCTACGCATATTAGCTCTCATCAACACACCCCGAACAACCCCAGAAGAAAAAGTCCCAAAGGTCAAACCAGTAATATTGTCCTCTTTAATCACCACAGTCGGCCGCTCTGATATCCCGAGGTCCGACCAGTCGGACCTCGGTGCTTACGCCGTTGACGGCGTAAGCACCGTTTCCCTTTCAAAGGCTGGGCCGATGGGCCGGGCAGCGAAGCATTAGTTGCTGGGTGGGTGGTAGCAGCCGGGGGTGAAGGTGAAGCTTGATCAGAAGAAATTCGGTGCGAGCAGGTGAAGTGAGCCAGGGGAGACCAGAAACCAATCGCTGTAGCCGGTTAGCCACAGCTTAGCGAAATTCTTTCCCCTCATGCTCCAATAACAAATTAATTAATTTGTCCACAGAGCCAAACACCATATAACGCAGACAAACCAGCAACTAACAGAGGCAGACACAAGGCTTAAATACACAGAAGGATACCAAGGGAATGAAACATAGAAGGAGGGCACAGTTGGGAGTAATTAGACATGACGGGACAGGGGAAACAAAAACTAAACACACTAACATCAGCCACGGACCTTCAAAGTAAAACAGGAACTCACACATGCAAAGACACAGACTTAGAAACACTGACTTTACACAGAGGAATACACATGCAGAAATGACTAAACACTAAACTGAAGAAGAACAGAACCAAAATCCAAAGAGCAAGAAAACCAGAACCAAAATACATCACAATAATAGAAAGCACAAAACGCTGGGTCAACAGACCCAGGATCATGATTATTCTGTTCTATTCTGTTCTATTCTATTCTATTCTTTGTGAATTTACACAGCTGAATTCAGCAAGATGTAAGCAGATGTTTCGTATCTATTTTCATTCTTTACACTGACAGTATAGTGTTAACTTTATACCGGACAGTATACAATTGGTTATAATTCAAAGTATTAATTAATCTCTGTGTGGCTGGGTGTGGTTTGTGGCTCAGCTGCAGAGGATGGATGGAACAGTGGGTTCTGGGTGTGTTGGAAGGCTAACTAACACACGAGATATCGATCATACAATCATGTCCCCCCCTTTTGAGGATGTTGCTGGGACCGGAGACGAGATCTGTGCATGGTGTGAACCCAGATGAGGACATCTGGAAAGCTTTTGCAGGGAATGCAAATAAAACAAACTGTGTGGGTCCCAACCCAAGCCGCCAGTAATATGGACCTGTGACAGATCCAGCCAGCTGAGGTCCTGGCCCATATGGTGGGTGAGCTGGCGGCCATGCAACAGGAGCAGGCAGTGGTGTTTTACCGCCAGTTGTAACAGTGGCAGGATCAGTCTGAACCCTGGATAAAGGTGTTAGAGAGTCTGATTGCTTGGGCTGGTTCCCTGCTGACACTGCCACCAGGAGGTCTTTCAGGTCATGGCAGAGCCATGCCATTGGAGGAGGAGTGGGCACTGAGGTTGCTCCCACTGAGGTCCAACGAAGCCCAGGCAGCGCCTCTCAGCTTGCCCTTGCCCTAGGTCTCACAGCAAAAGATTATCATTAGCGTTTCCGGGAGGGCTGGATGGAGCCAGAGGACTGGCTTTTCACCTGGCATAGGCAAACAACCGGCAGCAGTCGCAATTGGCCACGAACCTCCTTCGCTCTGCTGTTGCTCCACAGGTCCCAGGTAGTGGGACTGGTGTTCTGTGTCGCTGGCCCTCCAACACCTTCCCTCTTAATGATACACTGTATGTCTCTCTAAGGTGCTGAGGGGGTATACACCAGGCTATGGTGGATGCAGATCCTGGTCCAGCAAACCCTTGTTTGGCCCAGGGCATTGTTGGAAGAAAAATTAAGTTGTGCATGGGGATGTACACATATACAGTGGGGCAAAAAAGTATTTAGTCAGCCACCGATTGTGCAAGTTCCCCCACTTAAAATGATGACAGAGGTCAGTAATTTGCACCA